TCCGTAGTTCATTGGACCGAGTAGAAGTGGCCGGGAGGCGCATCTACTCGGGGGTTTGGTGAGTGGAAGTGGCTGGGAGGCGCATCTACTCGAGTTTTTTTTTTTTTTGTGAAGGAACGCATCTACGCGGCGCTGTAACGGCAGAGATGCATGGAATTTCACGCCCGAGGCACTGCTTGTCCCGTTGAAGTTTCCAATCGGTAGACGCCGGGTTTGACGACCTGGACGATCTTGTATGGACCTTCCCAGTTGGCTCCTAGTTTACCGGCGTTAGGCTCTTTGGTATTCTCGAAGACTTTGCGAAGAACGAGATCGCCCAAGGCGAGAGGTCGGGAGCGGACTTTCTTGTTGTAGTAGCTCTCGATCTGTCGTTGGTAATTTTGTATGCGCAGTAAAGCCTGGTCGCGTTTTTCTTCGATCATGTCAAGGGCATCGAGCAACATCGTTTGGTTGAGATCGTCTGTCTGGGGCATTTTACTGCGACATAGACTAGCAACATTGACTTTGGCCGGTGCCATGGCTTCGACTCCGTAAGCCAGCGAGAATGGAGTAGCTTTGGTTGCGCCTCAAGGGGTAGTTCGGTGTGACCATAGTACTCCATCTAACTCGTCGGCCCAGCAACCCTTTTTAAGGTCGAGTCGTGTGTAAGTAAAATGAGTGACGGGACTCGTCGGTGGGTTATCACAAAGGTGTAAATCTAGACAAACCGAGTGAACGGGAGATTTTATTTATAACTGGAGAGAGTACAAAGAGAATCCCGGTGCTCGGGAGCTTTACCGGGATTACGTTTGGGTTTGATTAAGACAACGGAATAAATCTAGCTATTTGGCTTAATCTATGCCGCCGTCTCTATGTCAAGTTTCGGATTCCTCGCTCGTGCTCCTTCCCTCTCTTTTTATAGCTTGGACTCCTCGGTCTTAACCTAGGTCGTTCTCGGCTCGTGGGCCTCCGGTATTGGGCCTACTGTCGCTCGATAACGCCACCTCCTGCTTGTACGGACGCCACTCGGATATAAGTGAGTCTTTCGGCCTTGTTGACTGTTCACCCTTGCCGGGCCGAATATGATTTTCTGTGGGCCTTGAGGGGTGGATACAGCCCACCTCCTACAACTTACTTACATGTTAAGTGTGGTACTAAAAAATCAAATTAATTTGAGCATTTTAATATATAATCTTGATTGTGAAAAAAAAAATAATCTTGAAAGGACCTTATGAGATAGCATTATATCTGGATATTCAGTTTGGAATTCATAAAGACAATGTAGTCTTCTCAAGAAATTTCTTCCAAATCACAGATTCTATTGATCCATATTCCATTGATAAATACACATTGGTATATTTATTAATCTTATAATAATAAATATATCTCATGAAAACAATTTTTAAAAATTTGATCGAATAACTAAAGTTTACGGGAACATAAATTTTGATATCATCAATTCTTCATGTATTTATATTTCATAGATTATCCCGTGAATAGTATAAGTCAAGTTCTTTATTATCATACCACTAATCATCTTTCTATTGAATACATTTTCAGTTAATTCTCAAACAAAAAATATAATGCGTAAATTAATCAGCTAATTACCATTAATTTACCAAAATTTAATATTAAGCATGAACGATAAAGAGTACTTATCTCAACTGAGGAAGTAGTAAGATGGATATTTAAAATATGATATGGAGATAGTTAGAATTTCATGCAAAATCTTGCCTTATACATAGCCCTGAAATATTAACAATTTGCTCATCAAAACATGGCTAATCTTATTATATAAATCTTGGTTCTTCAAAGTTGTTATTTAACATGATCGTAACATGTGTCAACAAAATATTTTAAAATTGTGATGTGTCAAAAAAATATGCTACAAATCTGTTTTGTTTAGGATTTTTTTTTAAAGGATTTAAAAGCGATATAGAAAAGGAAAATTATTATTACAAAAATATTCTTTAACAAAAAATTTATTATTACAAAAATACTCTTTTAAGATTTAAGAATTGGAAAATTACAATTACATCATCTTATACAATTATATATTTTTAGGACTTTAGAAAAAAATAAATTACAATAAATTAATTATTTGCTGTTAATATTGAATAATTACTTAAAATTGGTATTATTACGATGAAATTTTTTTTTTGGTATTTTCACAATTTTGTAATACCACTACTATCTGTACAGTTTGTCTTTGTTAATTCAATAGGTTTTATTATCATGTTTATTATCAAATTCTCAAAAATAAAAATTACTATTAAATAAACTTTACAATTCTCCTTGATCATGATTTAAAAAAAAAGAGAGAAAGAAACAAATTCCCATTTGGTTAGGATTTAAAAAAGAAAAAAAATTATTTTAACAATCTATATTATTAGAATTTTAAAAATTATTAGCACATAATCGCTTAAAAATTTCTAATTAACATGATCATGACACACATAAATATAGTTATCCTATTCTATTTCATATTATTTTTTTTATTTTATAACATCCTAAACAAACAATAACTGTAAAATATTTATGAAATATCTTTTGTTTTACAAAAAATAATATAATTTTGGTAAGATATTAAAGAAAGAAAATTAATAGATAAAAAATATTAACCTTATAAGAAAATATTAAATAAAAACAAATTATAAAATCCAACAAGTACAAAAAATAATTAACCAATTACAAAATAAGTAATGTTTCTTTTTTTTTTCTTAAAAAAAGCCTAAACAAAAGAAAATTGTAAAAGTACTACTGGAAGATTAGATTGGTTGTGTTCATGGAAGATTAAACGATTAAGGACACCGACAAGTCAATAAATCCAAAAGTTTGATCGGTTCAGAGGCTACTCCTTTTACATCAGTCCATGATGAGGTCAAGGTTGAGGTTCAAGATGATATACCAAGTGTAGATGCTTTCACACATGATGATGGTAGTTGTGTTCATGGTAAGACATCAGCTACTGAGAACCAACTTCCTGTTAGAAGATTTGAGAGGGATTTTAAACGATCAACAAGGTATGTTCCTAATGCGTATGTGTTATTACTGATGGGGGAGAGCATGAAAGCTATGATAAAGTTTTGGAAGATGAACAGAAAGATAAGGGGATTTGCTCCATGGATGAGAATCATACATTTATGTTGGTGGAATTTCCAAAGAGAAAGAAAGCTCTATTTAATAAATGTGTGTTATGAATTAAACATGAGGATACCAGTTTGTCACCTTGATACAAGACTAGATTGGTTGTGAAAGGTTACATCAATAAAAAGAGAATTAATTATGATGAAATATTTTCTCATTTTGTCAAGATGTTTGTGCCTGAATTGGTAGTGAGCCTTGATCTAGAGGTTGAAAAATGGATGTAAAGTCTGTTTTCCTTCATGGTGATTTAGAGGAAGAGATCTATTTTACAATTGAAAGGCAAATAGGATTTGGTTTTCTGCTTGAAGAAAATCCTTTAATGATTGAAGGAAGAGATTGATTTAGACAATTGTGGTACATGAAGTTAAAATCTGCTATGGAGCAGCATGGTTATGAAGAGATTGATTTAGACAATTGTGTATTTGTAAAGGTGTTTTGTAAGGATGATTTTATTATTTTGTTGGTGTCTCTGGATGTTATGTTGATTGTGGGCAGGAACTTAGACAAAATAAAGGAGTTGAAAGAGCAGTTCCGCAAGTCATTTGCTATGAAAGATTTGGATCCAGTGAAATAGATTCTTGATATGAGAATCGTTATGGATAGACGTGAGAAGCTGTTTCACCTGTCTGAGGAGAAATACGTAAAATTTACACTTAAATGGTTTCACGTCTAAAGTGTTGAGCACTACTCTTTCTCCAGACTTAAAACTGAGTACTCAACAAGTCCGAAAACATATGCAGAGAAGGAAGATATGGAAAGGGTTCCATATGCTTTTGCAACATGAAGTTTGACTTATGACATGGTCTGTACAAGATCAGATTTAGCCTACGCTGTTGGTACAGTTAATAGGTTTCTCGCCAATCTGGGAAGAGAACATTAGAATGATGTGAAGTGGATTTTGAGATATCTCTGAATGACTTATGATTTAAAGATTACTTTGGAGATAAGAAGACATTGCTTGTCAAATATACTGATTCCAACATGTCCAAGGATGTTGATTCTAGTAAGTCTACTTCATGTTACTTGGTAATGTTTACAAGTAGAGTTGTGGCGTGAGAGTCAAAGTTGAAATTTTTTGTTGCATTACCTACCACTAAGGCAGAGTTCATGATGCAACTGAAACTTCTAAGTAGCTGATAGTTAAAGTGCCATTTGTCTCAGAAGAACTCTACATTTCATTCAAAGTCAAAAACATCGATATGAGATATCATTGGATACATGATGAGGTTCGTAAAAGGAAGTGCAACTTGAAAAGGTTCATTCGGGTGATTATGGAGTGGATATGATAACAAAGTCATTGCCGAGAGGAAATCTGAGGTATGTTGTGAGATATCTAGAATGGTTGTTTCCTCCACCTAATCAGACGGGGAGTTTGTTAGGTTCTTCCTAATGGGGAAACCAATAGATTTTGTTGGAGAGAACCAAACTTGTGTTTAGGCCATTGATATTAATCGATGAAATTAATATTGAGCCTTGGGGTTTAGTGAGACACTATATAAAGTATGTTAACCTAATTGTGTGACTTCTATGATGTAATAGTTCTAAATCAGTTTCAACAAAACAAAGTGTTAAAAAAAGAGAGAAAGATTAGTGTTCTATATTCTGTATTAATATGTAAAAACCAATGTTGTGTATTAGCAGAAAATTAGTCCTTTCAACTTTCTCTACCAACTTATGTCAATCTCTTCTTCTCATAAGATTTTTACACAAATAGTTCCTTTGTTTTTCTCTTTGTTAACCAAAAACAAAACAGAACTTGAAAGAAACATGAAGATAATCCGCAATTCTCTGCAGTTTACAACACATAAATCATACACACAACATACTTCCATTAAAAAAAAAGTCTTAGTGCTCTTTATTTTTTTCTTCTTTATTCAAGCGTCTTGAGTGGACAAGAAGGCATTAAAGTCATCCCTGGCCTTACGCAATCGTGGGGTGATACAAGAACGCGGCGAAGTAGGGCAAGAAACCGAAGCCGAAGAAGGTGTGGAAAATCTCACACGGCGCGGTGAAGTCTCAGCCGATCTCTGGTAATCTTTTATAGACGACCGTGAAGTCACCAGTTCTTGCACATTTCTTCCTCCGTTAACTTGCATGAGGGCTGTCGTCGAGGCCCAAGAACCGCATTCGAATATCTCGACAGAGGAGCGTGTTGAAGCAGTGGAGTTAGTGAAAGAAGATGTACTGATCATCTTCTTCTCCATCGAATCTTGGCGTTTCGACTTTTGTTTCCCGAAGCCAGGTAGAGACAAACAGAAGGCGCTACATTTGAAATCGTCTTCCTTGTAGAAGGTTTTCTCCGAGCTACGAGATTTCCTCCTAAAATGAGATGATTCTTGGTGGCTAAGTTTCTTCCGGATCCTCATCGGCTCAGGGAGCATAGGAAGCGGTACGGCTGAGTCTCTAGGAGGAGGCATGGCCGGAGGTAACACCATTCTAAAGCTGTCTTCTCTTTCCGAAGGACGGGAGAAAACAGGACCAGTTGTTTTCTCACCCTCTAGAATTGCCTTCTTCACCAAGAAATTAAGATTATAGTTAGGGTTAGGGTTTTCTTCAGGAAAAACTGTGAAACCGTTCCACTCGTTATCTAAACCATCATCAAACGCAAGCATTGCCGGAGGAGGCATACCTAGATTTTAATTTTTTGAGAGATGGTTTTGTAATTTTTAGGGAAAATATATACAGAGGATAGAGATTATAAGTAGTAGAATATAAAAAAATAAAAAAAGGTGGGAAGCACGTCCATGCCCGCGTGGTGAAAGTAGTGACTTACATGTTTATAGGTCCTGTCTCTGTCTTATGATTTTGACATGTGGTTACTATCATGATTCGTGTGTGTATATTAGATGCGAGGATCTTGTAACAAAATGAGGATTTAAGGAAAAAGAAAATATTTGATTTTTCAACTTTACGATGTTTGATGGAGACAGACAAAATGGCTAGCACGTATTTCTGATCTGATCCTTTGCGTTTTGAAGTACATTTTTGTATATGTGACCGCTGCTGAAACTGAAAAGAGTTCATCTACGTCGAAACTACTCATAGAAGGCCAAGACAACACTCGACGTAAATGCTCATATCTGTAAGTCATATATGTTTCTTGGAGAAATGGTTAATCTTCTAAGACTCTGTAAACTATCATATCATATATCAAAATGAACCCGAGTATGAATCTGATCATACTTAGATGCTTGTAACTTGTAAGCACTAAGCATTCACTATATTACTTGGTCATCGATATCTAAATCTACCCGCTTTTATCAAGGCTGAACAAATTCTGGCACCAATCTATTGACATATCAATAGATTAGAAATTTCAGAGCTGATTAGATGGAGTCATCATCTCACTATCGCTCAAGTATTAAACTTTAATTTTGTTTTTTACTAACTTGGCAAATCAAGGGCATACAACTCGTTTAGTATTATTTATTATTTGCTATGTAGAATTATGATATCTTGCGGAAATATACTGATATGATCAGTGACGTGGCAACTCTCAAGCTGTAGTGAAGATAACGAGAGGAGTTATTAGTAGAGTATCAGAAATGTAAAGAAGAGAATACTATAAAAATAGAGACGAGGATTGCGCCTATTCATTTTACAAGAAAGGTGTGAAGGATAGTCTTCTGACTAGAGGAGAAATGAAGACTTTTTGTCAAACCCTAGGTTCGCAAGTGTAATCGATGTTCTTGATCAATATAGTGCTCTATTCTTATCATATACACAAACATCTAAAGATCATTTCGGATTATCAAATATAGCAATTTTGCATAAACAACAATTGTAGTTTTTGTTTTTTTGGCACAAATTGTAGTACGATTTATGCATTATTTTGTTGATATTTTTTTTGACAACAAAAAGGTTATTATATTATTCAAGTTTAATGTGGTATCGAAATCAGAATATAATAACTAACAAAATAAAGATTGGTATGGAATAAACGTCCTAACTAAAAAGTCTGCAGTTCCATTTGTCTTAGAGGAGTGTAGCAAATCTTAAAATCCTGAAATCTTTCTTTAGTTCTTGAATCTCTTCCAACTCTGTCGAGAAATTCAGCCATACATGAGGATCCTCTATCATCGCCATCAAATCTTTGCATTCTGTCCCAAAGCGTTGGCATGTTGAATGGTGCAACATATTTTCCATTGTCCAACATAGAGCTTCTAACTCATTATGCAAAGCAATTTCCCTTCATCTTTGATTCATTGTTCCCATAAGTTAAATCTGTCCAGTATTATCTTTCCACATCCAGACATACCCACTGTAGACTTCTGTAAAAGTCCAAGAACTATCTACTAAACATATATATTCTCATAATATATGGCTTGAGATGTGTGCTATCATTGGATATGTGATATAGTTTCCCTACAAAATAATTATAACCCTGTTTGGGAAGGTGTCGCTGACGCAGCGATAAACTACTAAACATTCAACACTTAGGACGGCAAATAAAAAAGCGGAAAACTGAAAAGGTCATGCTGCAGTTAGTTTCTCGTGTATTTTCGATGATGTCGCTACCGCTGGAAATATCAGCGACAGCCGCGTCTCCTTTTACAACTGCGGCGGCAAGCTATGATAATTAAAGTCACCTACAAAATCGTTCAACTTGTCTCCGTAAAAATGGTATTCTTTGCCGCAACCGCTAGTTCGCAGCGGTTATGAAAAGAACACAACTTATGTCTAAAAAACTTTGAACCACGTGATCCATGTATAATCAACAAAAAACATATTTTTTTGTTGAAATCTATTGACATTAGATAACAAAACAAAAGGTTATGTAATTTAACTGTTCAAACAATAAATAAAACAATGCCCACCCGAAACGCAGGTTCAAGGCTACTTGAGTTTTTAAACTGAAGCCTACTACAAAGCTTCAAGCCAGCTTTACGATTGGATTAAGAAAACAACATAATACAAGGAAATATTTAAATAAGATTTTAGAGGATAGCCAAAAGGTTTCGTGGTGTAGTCGGTTATCACGTCAGTCTAACACACTGAAGGTCTCCAGTTCAAACCTGGACGAAGCCAATAATTTTTTTTTCTTTGTACGTTGATTTTGTAACAGGGCTTAGGACCCAGCAGAATCATTTATATATAGGCCTCAAAAGTCAAACTGCTGGTTCTGTATATACCTTTTTCAAATGTGAATTTCTTACAGTTTTTAACATCATTATTACATGTGGTCAGAAATATGAAATAGCTGAAAGAATTGTACTAAGAAAACCAATCTCAAACCAAAACTAAAATATATATATATAAATCAGCAAAAGCATGTCTTAGCTACTCACAAGGTTCTACAAAAAAAATGCTTCATGAGGGATGCAACTACTTCGAATTGACATCGTTGAGTTCCTGTGAGGAAGGAGCAAAAACAAAGCTCAAAGATTTGGACGATGCAAGCAAACTTAAATGATAAAACATTGGTTACAAAACTTACCAGCCGTTTAAATGACTTATTGTTCATGGATCTTGTTTTCTCCAATGGCTTAGCTTGATCTAGAGCCTGAAAGACAACAAGGTTTTAGCAAGAACGTACTGAAACCCCTTGGCAGCAGTTGAATAGAAAGGACAAGATAAATCTGGGTTTAGTGGTTTACCTGAATCATAGATTCCACACGACGCCTCATCCTGGTATGCATAAATCCCTCTGAGCACTGTAATACAAAAACTCTGTTTATACGAATTTACAATCGCAGCGATAGATTACAAGTATGTTGTGAAAATGAAAGAAAAATTTAACCTTGACGTGGTAACTAACATAAGCATGAAAGGTTGACAAGTTCCAGACAGTACGATCGAGCTTTTCCCCCTCCACATGCCGAGGCACAATGACTAATAATCCAATGTTCAGTACTTTGAATGCAAAAATGGAAACAAAGCTAGTAAGACCACATACCAAAAGTTACAAAACCAGCATTAGCAGATAGCGTTTCTTTAGGAGCTCCTTCCAGCTCCTGAGGTGCGGTTGGAGACCACGAACAAGAAGGAGCACTACTAAGAGAGGCCGCACGCCTTGCCTCTACAAATTGCTATACCGATGAAGAGAGATGGGACTTTACTTTTAAATATAAAAAAAAAAACACTTTTTCCGACATTTAAATTGTTTTTGATCATTATTGTTACTTTTAGGAAGGACGTCGCTAGAATTGTATCTACAGAGTCTTTAAACCTCATAGGAAAAGCCACAGTGACTTTATCCGCCTGCCATGACGCAAAACAATCAAGTTATCTACTACAAAAGGTTTAAATACAAAACTTCTTACAGACATACCCGAGGCACAAGGAAAAATGTCTCGTTAGGTCTATGCATAATTGCAACAAGCCTATCCAGCTCAGGAGCAACCGTCCTTGAAGCTAAATGTCTGAGGATGATTTTCAACGGCGCACCCATCACCACCTCTCTAATGGAAGCTAGCTTCGTTAACAACGAGTTTCTGTACGCTGCAAAGACATATAAATACTTTCCATTAGAGAACGTAAAAAAAACATCCAAAGCAAAATTCATTCAAGGATCTTTTTATAACCTTCGTCTGGACGAAGTTTGGAGAAATTGAGCTTGAGGGTAAGACTAAAACCATCTCTGGGAGGATCAAGAATCTGAAAGCCTGTCCCGTAAGCGGTTTTAATAGCTTCTATAGCTCCCAATGGAAGTCCATCAAAGGAAATTGCTTCAGGTGGTGGGTTTGGTAAAGAAACCGAAAGCAACAAGATTTGTGGATTCTTCATTGTCACCTATTAACACTCACAAAACATCAGAAACTTGGAAACACAATTATATGAATGATTCTCAGACTCACCTGAACGTGGTAACGAACATCATCGAACTCGATCCATTGATAATCTAGCTCCACTGCTTTATCAAGACTGAGGAAAAATAATAATCAGACAGCTAAGAAAGCTATAAAAAAAAACATTTTTACCATCTTACAAAACACAGTGCAGTTCTTTAGGAAAGGTTTCAGATTTCTTGCTAGAAATCCACCAACGGACCAAACCCACATTCCAGAATCGAAGAGGGTCTCTAATCTCAGAGAGGATTAAGAATGAGATGACTCACTTCTGAGCACGTGTCAACAGCGTCTGAAGGAGGAACCTTGAATGCGACTGCAACATCATCGATAACACTTAGCGAATCCTAGCGAAACTGAGTCCCTAGATTCTCCAACGGGATCTAATCGGGGAATAAGAAGAAGAGCCACGTCAGAGACAACAGAGACGACCGATATTCTCTGTCCCAACGTGAACGTTTCTTTGATAGACTTTTTGGATTCTCAGCGCTGCGAAACGGTGACGTTTGTGTGTTTTAATCTTTATTGATATTACTTGGGCAAATTCGTATATTGGGCCTATTGTTAACATACATTAGTCAAGCCCAGCCCGGTTAGTATTAGAATGAATAATGAGTTTCAACATTCAAAATACTCGTATTAGATGTTGAAAATATATGTAAACTATTTGTTTTGCCCGCACATGCGGGCATAATTTTCGTATAATTTATTATTAATCTGTATTTTATTAATTAAAACCAATATAATAAGTTATGATTTATGTTTTAAAATTAATTATAAATGACAACACTCACATAACAAAATATTTTTAAAAATATATTTTTACAAATGTGTTGCTTTAATTTATTTTAATTATATTTTTTCTATCTTAATTTTTATTTCTGTAATAAAAATATATTTTCAAGATAACAATATAATACATAAGAAGTATGTTATTTTCTCAAAATATAGTTTTTTAATAGAAATTCGTTTTATTTTATAATAAATTTTGTATGAAATTATTAAAAATATGACAAATTATCCAAATTATCTAAATTATGTAGAAATTACAAATCAGATAATTCACTTAAATTTTCTAATATAAATATATGTTCAAGATAACAATCTAATATATAAGAATTATCTTATTTTTTTTTAAATCTAGTATTATTAGTATACATTCGTTTTATTATTTAATAAATTATTTATGAAATTATTAAAATATGATAAATAAGCAAAATATAAAACCATGGAGAAGTTGATAAATCATCATTGCTTTCTTTATATTTAACTATTATATTTAACTTAATTTTTAATTTCTATGATAAGAAAATATATTTTAAAGATAACAATACAATACATAAAAATTATCTTGTTTTCTAAAAGTATAATATTGTTAGGAGAAATTCGTTTTATTATATAATAAATTATTCATAAAATTATTAAAAATATAACAAATAAGTAAAATTACAAAAATTATGGAGAAGTTACAAATCAATCAATAAATTCACTTGAATTTTATAATAGAAAAATATATTTTTAAGATAACAATTTAATACAAAATAATTAACATATTTTTGAAAATATAACATTATTAATATAAATTCGTTTTTACTAAATAAGAAATTGTATATGAAATTATTTAAATAAGGTAAATAAACAAATTTACCTAAAATCAAGGAGAAGTTGACAACTAAGCAAATTTACTTCTTATATAGTAGTATAAATATAATAGTATAGATATAATAGTATAGATAGGAATTAAAACTAAAAATTATGAAAATTACCTAAAATCATAGAGTACATGACACCTCAGCAAAATTATTTCTTAAATAATAGTAGATCAGGGTTTTCATTCTAGATAATTTCTTGTTTCATTATTGAACACTAGGTGCATAGCCCCGCTCGTTGACTTAATTTGTGCATTCAGCATAATACCGAAAGAAGCTTCTTTTCAAATGGTAAGATGGATGGAAACTAATGCAAATACTTTTCTAAAGATAAATCGTTTGTTCTTTTGAAGCAACAATCTCCTCGAGATGTCTCTAGGGTTATCTCTTATATTTCTTGGTATCCTCTGCATTTTGCTGATCTTTTTAGAACTTACGCAAATATTCTTGCAAATATTCTGGATTTGTATCAGACAAATCTTAAGTACGTTCTTTGTAAAGTTTTTCACAGCGATTCGATTCCAACGGCTACTAACGTTTTTCTCCCCAGAAACACTACCTTTACATACAAAAGTAGCAGTCATGAGAAGTTTCAGAATCCATCATAGACAAAAATACCCTAACCTTATTACGGTTCCAGCTCTCCATGTTTCATTTGAGCCTCCTTTGAATCTCTATACAGTGATAAATATTTCATAACTTCTAAATCGCAAAGTTCAACTGCAATGAGTACAATACAACATATAGTTTTCTCCTTTTCCAAATATGTTTCTACCACTGTATCAGTTCCATCCCCTCACCCAACAACCAAAGAGTGTTTCCAATCCCTTAATCACAATTCGCCCCTCTTCCTTGAATTGTTGCTTTGGTGGCCTTAGAGAGTGAAATAACTCAAAGATGGAAGGTAAAACCCTCACTCTTACAACGGACTCAACACCATAATCATTCTCCACTGTCTCTTTGAATAACAATCTGCCACGGTGAGTACTCGTATGACCTCCGACGTAGATGAGGTGATACCAAATGAAGCTTAGTGTTAGCCACCACAACTGCAACGTTAGACCAGGTCCATCGGGGGATGGTAAGGGGGGTTCTACGCGAAATAAGGAGAAAAAATAAATGAAAAACACAATAATTAGAGAGAACCGCTACCTCATGAAGAGAAGTAGAAGTGGTTAAAACCCCTCACGTGGCAGAAGCCTATTGGCTTGAAAAAAAAAACATGTCTCTCCCTTTTGTTAGTCGGTTCTCTCTCGTTCGAAATCAATTGTTCTTCTTTCTTTCTGTTGCTCTTCCACTTTGTCATTGATCCGTTGAAATCTCTAACAGAGATGATGTCGATTCTGTCTCTCCGTCGTCGATCCTGTCTCTCCGTCGTCGCTCTTCCTCTCTTCATCGTCGAATCTGTCGAATAGGATCCAAAGGAGATGATGTTTGATCCATTTCTTTCTTCGTTGATCTCCTCCTTCCAATTATTGCATGCAATCGACGAGGTTCCGTGACAGAGAATCCAGCGATGACCTTCGACGAGGTTTCCATGGAACGCAGCAAGAGCTTCGTTAAGGCCTTGCAGGTTCCTTTTTCTTTTATCTCTGCAATATTCTTTGCTTCTGTTTGATTATATTCTTCAGAAATTGATCACAATAACAGTCATCTAGGTTAATCTAGATCCATGATCTCCTTGTATATACTCTCTAGGCTTTGTGATACATGATCTCTAACAGCTTCTGATGCGACTGAATAATCTTGTGATTGTTTTTTATGTAAACAGGAGCTCAAGAACTTGAGACCACAACTCTACTCTGCTGCTGATTACTGTGAGAAGTCTTATCTACACAGCGAACAAAAGCAACTGTATGTTAAACATCTTCCCTTAGCTACTAATACGCTTTTGAATTGATGATTGTTAGTGAATATATTTTCTATGTTTCTGTTAGGGTGTTGGACAATTTAAAGGACTATACTGTAAAGGCTCTTGTTAACGCTGTTGATCACCTTGGTACTGTTGCTTCTAAGCTTACTGATCTCTTTGATCAGCAAAGTTCTGATGTATCAACTATGGAGTTGAGAGCTTCTTGTGTTAGCCAGGTAACAAGACTTTTGCACAAACTGATTTTAACCCTTTTGTTTCTTTCTTTCTACCGCTTTACTCTGCTAACTCTAGTTTACCAATGCTGATTTTACACAGGACATACGTTAGCTGACATTGCTTTTCACAAGGCTGGGATTTTCAAGGTACCTTTTGACTTTTCATAAGCTATTTCCAAAAAAGGTTTCCTTTGTCTTAGATTTTTATAAATGTAAAATATTTGTACAAGTGTTCTGATTGGCAGATTCATGTTAGATATTCTCTGATTTGCTCTGTTTTCTTGTATGCTAATGAAAGCCTCAAATCCCGGCCTTCACAGTACCACAACTTTCTGAAGCAATGGCGGTTCTTCACGAAACAGCTAACAATCTTAAGGTAAGCAATAGTTATAGACTTTATATTACATTCCTTTTCGAAGTACTCGCACGATTAGTTCTATAAATAGTGTACACAAAAATAGTTCTGATAAGAGCTTGAAAAAAATGAGGCAGTCTCAGGATGTGTATGAGTGACTGGGATCAATATAAATTGGAGAGGCTTGAAATTTATGAAGGGGTATCAAGTGTTTTTTGATTGTTTGGGTTTGGGAGACTTTGGGAGTGCTCTATAAATCACATTCAGAGGCCTATTTTTGGTTCCATGGTGTCTTTGATTTTCAGCTTTAAGAAGTAAATGTAGTTTACAGTTACAAGCCTTATCATGGTCTTGTGTTCGTCTGTGATTTAGTTATGCTGTTTAACCTACGTTGCAGGTTCCTCTGGAAGTAATAGCGCCTCTTGACCTTAAAAAGTTGGATGGAATTGCACTTGGCTTGTCTGGGGATCTTCAGCTTGTAAATGCAGGTCTTGCTGTTTCTCTTTCAAGATGCTGGCTTCAAAGAACTGGCAACTGGGACAAGATATTTCCAAATGTTTGGTTTTGCTCTTGGTCATTAAACCTTTATCAAAACTTCCAATGGCTTTATTTGCTGAATCTTTTTGGCTTCAAAAAAAAAAATTAATCTAAAAAACCCCATAGAGGTTCTCCCAATGGAGGAAGACAAATTAATTAACCATAACAAAGGTTCTTAGCTAATCAAATCATCATATTAACTATTAATTTAATTATAAAACCTCATTAGGGGTTCTCTTGGATGGACTTGCTCTTAGTTTTATCCTTTTAAATTTATTTATGTACTAATACCTACATATCTACATAAATTTGGGGATCCAAACAAAAAGTGAATTGTAAACAGATCTTAAAACTGGGAAAAGAACAAAAAGATGAAAGTTTGGTACCTTTTACAACGCATAACGTTGCAGCTAAAGTCTGTGTTCTTCTTGGTCAACAATCTCTAGCGTACATTTAAGCGAAACAGATAAATATCAATCAAAAGTGACTTGGAAATCTAAATTAACGGTACCGATCAAAAGAAGGAATTCTGTGAGAAGATATATTTAACGTTATGCTGAGACCCCACCATTCAAGAATTGCTAGCAGAGATCTGAACGTTCTCCATTGATCCACATCTTGTGTTCCTCTTCACTTGCTGTCTTCTCTGAATTTTTTTTAGGCTATACAATTGAGTAAACAAAAATGTTAAATTAGATGAGATCGAGATAGCTAGGAAAATTTAGGAAATTGGGTATCAGAAGATAAATCGGAAAACTTTAACAAAAGAGAGAAGAAGAAATATTTATTTGATCAAAGAGAAGAAGAAATTAAGACTCAGCGATTTGCTTTGAATTGCTCATCCCTAGTAAAAGTTTTTTGTTCACTTGTAATCTTCAAAATCTTATATATTAAAACAGACTCAACGATTTTGTCAGTTTTTGAAAAATGGACTATTACTAAATTTTTTTTTGTTACATTAACTCTTTAATAATCTTATCATTATTATATTTTATGAAAAATCATATCTATAATAAAAAGATACGTTTAACAATTTGGTTTTGGTAAATTACCCCACACCTTCCAACTTAGTCACGCAAAATATATCAATAGATATAAGTTTAGGAATCTTCTATTATTTATAAGGAAATATGTCAATAATAGTTAAATACATCTACAATATATTAACAAAAATCACAGATTATTAATATGGAATATTTATGTACCTTAACAAAATTTACATGCTATATATATTAGATAAATTTATTTCGATGTAGATATTTAAAATAATATTGTTTAAAAAAAAGAAATTGTTAAAAAAATCGTTTTTAATAAAATTCTTTATAATATTAATTTATGAAGCTATAAGTTTAGTTTTTAGCAAAAATTTCTTCGAAATTTATATTATCTTTGCAAATTAAAGTATACTAGTATTAAGCAGAAACAAACACATGTTTAAAAAATATGTATAATATAGAAAATTTGAAACAATCTATTTGATTAAAACACTTATTATAAATATTATTATGTTTGAAAAACATTTACTATACATATCATAAATATGTGATTACTATAATATATACCAATTTACAGGTGAAAACAAAATGTTTATATAACTAACTATAAACGAAAACAAACACCCGTGCGGTTGCGCGGATCAAAATCTAGTAGTTATTAATGGTGATAATAATGGAAAATAGAGAAATAAATGTTGATTATGTTGACGATACATTTTAATCATATTTAGCAGTACGTTTAATTTATAAATACGGCCCTTATGGTTGATGAAATATTTAACCTTATAAAATGTAAAGCCCATCATGACCCAAAAGATCTTGTAGCAAGACAAATGACACGCTAAGTAATATAAATGACACGCTAGACTAAAAAATAACATGCAAGTTGAGAAAAACAGAGGTAAGGCCCACTTACCTTCTGATGTGGTCTCTTGAGGGAGAGGCAAAACCTCCCTTATTATATATATAATTTTTTATTTCTAGTCTTTTGCAGTGTACTAGGGATGTTACAATAGGTAAACCTGACACATTTAAACTCACTCAACTTAAGGATCATCCCATATATAATTCATACATGTTTACACTCATAACTAGATTCTGATATTTTATCAAAATCTAATTTACAAAAAATTAATATATTTAAAAAATATATATATAAGTAATGTTTAAATATTTTAATTTTAGTGTATTTGAAAACTACATAATTATATTATTTGTATTTATATTAATACAAATATTATATAAGATATTACTTAATTTTATTTTTAAATTAATTCAATATGTTTTTATAAATATTTAATAAATCTCTTTAATTGGTTTGATTAATTCTGTGATATATACCTATTTGATAAATTTTAAATTCTGAAACTGATTTGATGTCAATTTATTGACTCTAACATTATATTTGTATAAAACTTATTTGCTATCAACTTAAACAAAACATAATATCACTTTAATAATTATATGCTCTTAAGGAAAAAAAAATCTAAGAAAAGAATCTAATAAGAAATTTTTATTAAGTTTAAATGAATGCAATTTTCATCTATGAAATTATATTAATTTAATTAATTTTATATTAAATGAAATTATTTTGTAGTATCTAAACTCACAAAATAATTACACTTAGTTTTTGAATTCCTTTCATTAAATAATTTATTTTTTTAATCCAATCATTGAAAATGATGTAAATAAAAATTATTGAAATGTAGGAGTTAATGTTTTATATTGATTAGATACAAAATTAATTATTGTATTATTTGGAAACACATTTAATAATAGTTTAAGGGAGGGAATATTATTTAATTTGGGTGGGTTTAACTATATAATAGAATGGTGTATTTAATTTAAAATGTTAAAAATTACAATTTAAAAAAAAAAATTATCAAAAAAAAATAATTGAAAATTTGTGATATCTCCAACTCTGACTGCGGTGCCTAAAAAATCTCTTTCACATGTTACTTTGTTTCAATTTCTACATCGATAACATTCAACGATTATGTGTAATTCAATAATAGTACAATAAGACAAAGTGAGCATTCAAATAGAAAACTTAGTAACTCAAAAAATTCAATAACAACAAAAACAAAAGCAACATATTTTGTTCTCATTAACTTTTCCAAACATAACGAAAGAGAAGCTATAAAAGGTGTTTCATGGTACACTCTTGAATCTTCCGTTATTGAAGATCCAACTCTTGAAGTACTTACAGTCTTCCTAGTATCTTTATTGCACATATCATTAACATCTTCTACATTACCTACAATCCAATGTGTGAATTAGTTTTCTTTTTTTCATCAATATAAAACAGGCTCATATAGGACTCTGCAAACCAAAATGATAACTCTACATCCATATGAACAACAAAAGACGATTATTTCCTAGCACTTCGCGCAAGACTGTTCACCCTTGTATATTATTAAAAACACTTGTCTATACAAAGTTCTTGTAAATTTTGAAATTTAACCTTCATATTTTGTAAACTCACACATCCAGTTACGAGTTCAAAGTAAAGCTTGAACGTTCGTGTGAAGCAAGCAGTTTCTGTATGGAATAAACACATGAGCTCCAATGCTAAAAGCTGATTTTGACGCAACTGTAGTGATTGAGATGCTAAGTGTATCATGCACCATATTCTAAGTCACCAAATTTAGTATATCAGTATATAGGTTAAAAACATCAAAATCAAGGAAAGACTTTCTATCTAGCGTTAATGCATCCAAATATGCATCAAAATGTGTTTTATGTTTCTCATATTACTTTCAAGGACTCTTTCCAGTTCAAAGAGATCCTAATATATTATAACGCAAGTTACAAGAAGCAAGCAACGACAACCATGTAGATGCAAAATATGAGTGAAAATCCTTAAACTTACATTGTTTAAAACATCATCAATAGGGGATTCACTAACTAAATCATGTGGAGTTGTTGCAGAAGAAACACTTGAAGAATTTCCCCAAGTCCTAGCATGATATTCTTTATAAAGTGCATTCAAATCAGTCCTAAGTTCTTCAGTTTTAAAGCTAGAAGACAAAGATCCACTCTCTCATAACTCATAAGCTTTCTCAAGTACGTCAGACTTGAATCTAAGATTTCATAATTAATTGGATATAAACGACAAAAAATAGGTGAGTAGTGTTTTGTATTATCTAACGTCTTCATCATATTATAATTTAATAACTAATTTGGTATCTACTCTATTAATTTAGAGTCCTATTTTTTATTTACTTAAAAATGTTGTCATTTAAGTTTGGACCTATTCACAGCTCATTAGAAATAATTAAACATTCATTATTATTTAGTTAACAATACAATATAACTTCCGCCTAAGAAATATAATCTTGACTTTTGTTTAAACCTACCCATAGTAGAATCTTTGGTTTCATGTATTCTAACAGGAGTATATTATATTTGGTATTAAATTATAAGATATACTTTGTAGAGTATAATATAGCTTAAGTAACCATCAATATAACAATCTGGATCTTCGACTAATACGGACCTTGCTGATGTTCTTCATATTGTCTTTTATACAAAGCTATTAATAACGTAACAGTGGAAAATATCTTTACAATCTTATTATATAAAGTAGACTTCCCTCTCACCAGGGGAAGCCAAATCATCAAATAAGTGAAGAGGAGAGTGCCACCTATCCCCTTTTCTATAAGTTTTGTTGATTTTTCGTGGTTTGTTACAGAGTTTCACGAGTGAAAATTTAATGGGCTCTGAGTTATGTCATTTGGGCTGAAACAATAAACAAAAGGTAGCCCGTTCACGCCTTCATCAACAATGGTGTCTAGCTTTTTAGGGTTCATAGATTTTTTTATCTTCGATTCGGCTAACCGGCAATGGAGGTCTTGAAAGGTTGTGTGAGACAAATCTTCGTGAAGAATCTCTTTGTTGATTTCTGTTCATGCCGTTTCGTCTTCGATACATTTCCTCTGATATGTTACGGGATGCATTGATTCAACGCCAATAACGAACTTCTTAACTCCTTCAACCACGATCACTCATTCATTGCTTCTTATCTCTCTTCTAGACGGTGGATATCCACCTATACAAAGAACAGTCTTAATCCTGTGAACATCATTGTACTTCCACGGTCGAGGTGGGGGTTCTCAGGTTTTCAGATATAAAAGCATTGTCTTCTTATGATTTTCATTTCTTATGTTTCATATATGATATGACCACTATTCTGATTTGGGTTCTGTTTTATGTGCGTCTGTATATGTGAATTTGTCGTTTTCTTAGTGTAGATTTCATGAGCTTCTTCTTATGTGAGTTTCAGTGCTTCTACTGTCGCTAAAATTGAAGTCTTTGTTTATTGCTGGTGTATCTTTCTCAAACACAAAAGAGAAATTAACCCTTACATTTTCTCAAAATAGCTGAGTACTTGGAGATCAGACTCTTAAATCTCAACACCAGTTTTTGTTTGGCATTTATTGACGCAGATATATTTATACAT